CCTCAGACAGGGAACTGAAGAAACACCCAAATGCTTATGAAAGAAGGGCATGCTGGTCCCCCCAGGCTAGATCCCTGCTCCAAGCCCATGAAAGTAAAAGGAAGGGGACCCTAGAAAGAAGACTGCCCTCTTAACATCATTAATCCACTCCACTGTAAATCAGCACCCAATAATTTTCCTGAAATCTGGTTAGTGGTCTCCCTTCATGGAAAGAGTGAGAGAAACAAAGAATGGGGCAGTGGACTTAAGTAAAACCAAGCTCCTCACTGTTTGCAAACATACTTTCATCTCTAATTACAGTATACAAATTAGAGAAAAGTTTACACCAATATAATCAAAGGCCCAGGTTCTGTCAGTAAATTTTACATAATGTAACAATACTCTCTTTTGCTTCCTGCCAAATTTACAGAATCAATTTTCTATTTTTGTGTAAGCCAAACCAAATACATAACAAACACACAATAAAACCCTGTTCTTTGACTCATTAGGTATTGGTACTTTCTTTAACTCTGTGTATTGACTTCTATTTTTTCCTGAGTGTTGAGATATTAACCAATTAGCAAAAGACTTATTTAGCCTACTCCTCTAAGTTCCTGCAATATTTATTTTGTGACCAATCTAAAAAACTTCCCAGCACGCCTAGTCTTTGTAGTTATAGTTTACCTTTCTGATATTGGGCTGGCTCAATGTTAGACTTCCATCTCTATTTATCATGTTAGCTCCTCTTCATTCTAAGAATTCTTAAAAACACCAAATTTTTTTTTCTCCTTAAATATTTAAAAATCCAACTGGATCAAAGAATAACATTCAAAATAAAATTATTACTTGTTTTACAGGATAATCCTACAAAAACAGCTTCAACTCTACGAGGCAGTTTCTACATCACTGGGGACAGGGGCTATATGGATGAGGATGGATATTTCTGGTTTGTTTCAAGAGCAGATGATATCATATTATCTTCCGGGTAATTTTCATCTGTGGATATGTCTGTGTTGACTGCTTGTTAGTAGTTTGGAGTGAACTTTTTGCTCACCTTTATAAATTCCTGCCTTATGTTTTATTTCCCAGTTACCGAATTGGTCCGTTCGAGGTAGAAAGTGCTCTGATTGAACATCCTGCAGTTGCAGAGTCAGCTGTTGTCAGCAGTCCAGATCCCATCAGAGGAGAGGTAACTGATTCATCTCTACCTTAGTTTGTTGGCAGTCTAACACATACTTTTAAACAGTAGTTCATTGAAACAGAATTACCTAAATGATTCATTCACTAATTATGTAATTTAGAGACTCATTATTAAATATGCTAGTCAGATAGAAATATGCTAATCAGAATGAACTGCTACAGAATGAGACTGAAAATATACACAATATAAAGAATTTGAATCCTTTCCATGGAGTATTGGGGCAAAGACAGTGTGAATGCTAGGTTCACACCAGAAGTGACCCCATGGGCTGTAGCCTACCAGGCTCCTCCACCCATGGAATTTTCCAGGCAAGAATACTGGAGTGGGTTGCTATTTCCTTCTCCAGATCTTCCCTACCCAGGGTCGAACCCAGGTCTCCTACATTGTAAACAGACGCTTTATCATCTGAGCCACCAGAGAAGTCAGAAGCTAATTAGATAGGTTCAAGTTGTTACTCAGATCTGGAAACTAACATGGCCTTAGTGTAGCTGAGGATAGGCTGGCATCAGATATCAAGACTAGGAACAAGGTCAGAGATAGGAACTAAGTAACCAGAAGCAAGTTGGGTCAGTCAGTAAGTAGAGGCTTCAGGAAATAATAAACAAGACAGAAGTCCTGAAAGCTTACTTCCGTTGGGGCCGATCACATGGTAGTCTGGGTTTAAAGATTCCATGACACTCTTCAGGTCCTTTTTGCCAGGCATGGTCAATAATATTCCACATTCCAGTAATGCAAGTAGGGAAAAGATTCAGTGATTATTGAAGTTTGTCCCTTTGCTCTGAATTCCATCAGTAGGTAGAATGAGTCTCTCCCCTAACATCAGTCATTTCCTCCTCTGTAAAAGGATTCTGTGAGGGGAATTACATTCTATATTTTGTAATAAATCTATAAGGGAAAAGAAATCTGAAAAAAAAAAAATCTTATCTATATCTGAGTCACTTTGCTATACACCTGAAACTAACAAAACAGTTAATCAACTATACTTCAACAAAAAAATGACAAAAAGAGAGAAGATACAAAGTTGTAATGTACAGCAGGGTTCCATTTTTAAGTATAAATGTCTTAGGAAAAATAGAAATAATTCACACCACTTTGCTGGTTTTCTCTGGAGAATAAAATTAAAAATGATTTTTAATTTCTTTAAAAAAAGTTTGTGAGGATTAAATAAGTTAACATAGGTATAGGACTTATAACAATACTCAGCACATATTAAGTCATTAAAAATATTAGGTATTAGTTGTAGAAGTATAAGATTTTTTTAACCTAAAATCTGTAAGTGGGCTTCAGAGTTTCCCTGAAATTCTGTGCAAGAGAAATTACTACAACCAATACCTAATATTTTTAATGACTTAATATGTATGTTCCAGGTATTGTTATAAGCCCTATACCCATGTTGATTTACTTAATCCTCATAAACTCCTTTCACAGAGAAGGAAATTGAGGCAGAGATGTGTCCTAACTTGCCTGAGATTACAGGCAAAATGTGACTCAAATCCAGGTTGTGTACTTCAGAGTTCATGCCCTTAACCATGTTAGATTGTTCTTTCTTAATTTATCATTTTCTGTAATGGTTTACAAAGAATTCTATAAAGATAAGTTAGATTTTATCCAAAGTGCATGAGTAATCAATATGCAAACCAGTAATTACAAACACTAGTTCTTAAAATAACTTGCCTCTGCACAATTCACTTATAGCAAGGATGAAATTTTTTAATTCATAAAAATATTGATAAGCAATATAACAAGCATAAATACAAATAAATTTTATGAAATGTCAAACAATGAATAGAATAAAATGATATACATGCATAGACACACATACACAACTGCCTTGCGTCAATAGAAGTGTCTATGGAATAAAGAGCGGACAGTCTCAGTGAACTGTTTCTTTTAACAAGGATATGGCAAACCCAGTGAGAAGACTGTTTATTAGGACCATACTGAGGGTGGTGACCTAGACTAGATCAGGATGGGTTCTTTTATAAAAGACCGTGCTTAGTGCACTGCCAAGTTTCCAAAAGAAAATTTTTTGAAGGGGATAACAGATGAGGCAAGAAGTCAAGAGCAGAAATGATCAGAAACAGGTCAGAAAGTAGTTTAAGATGTAGTGAGATGAGACAGTTCAAGTATAGATCAAAATCAAAGTAGGGGTTCCAAAAGCTCTGTTGTATTAAGATCCCCTGGAGTAGGAAATGGCAACCTGCTCCAGTATTCTTATCTGGAAAGTTCCATGGACAGAGGAGCCTGGCAGGCTATAGTCCATGGGGTCAGAGTTGGAGACGACTGAGCAACTGAGCACACACGCACACATTAGATATAAAATCTAGGTGTGGGAGTCAATTGGCTGGCTTAAGAGCATAAAGCTGAGATCAGACCCTAATAAACATTTTGGCTCACCACATGAGGTATTTATTTAGATTTCCAAGTTAAGTGAAAGATACATTGAAACATAAAAATATACAACTCATCATTCAAATATTTATTTTAGGTAGTAAAGGCTTTTATTGTTCTGAATCCTGATTACAAGTCACATGATAAAGAACAACTAAAAAAGGAGATTCAGGAGCATGTAAAAAGAAATACAGCACCTTACAAATATCCCAGAAAGGTAGGTACTCTAATTAAGAACAGTATTTGCTTAGTATTCCGGAAGTTTTCAGCTGTTTATTTTTTCCATTTTAATGAACATTCTCTTGAAATGTGCTATACCAAACATTTCAAACTGAACTAATGACATGGATAAGAAACAGAATCTTTGAGATTAAAATGAAACTCTTAACCTAATTTGTAGGGTCATTTGGCTTACTGGACTTAATAGTAAGTACTAAATATTAAAAAAATATCCTCAGCAATATCCCTTCTCCCTTTTTTCGCTGTTACCAAAAAACCCCCCCAAATGGTGTCCTGATTCTTTCACCCAGAGTTCATAATGGAACTGTTATATAATTGACTTTGTCTAAAGATGAAAACCTCTGGCCTAATTTTCTTCCCTTGGATATCTACAGGTAGAATTTATTCAAGAGCTGCCAAAGACTATTAGTGGGAAGATAAAAAGAAATGAACTGAGGAAGAAAGAATGGGAAACAACTTAAGTCTATTCCATTAATTATGATGGTCTCTGTAAATAAGACTCTGTAAAATCAAAGATTATGAAAAGGTGGTAAAAAATGTAATAGTATGCTTATAAACTAATTGATTTAAAATATCCTGTGGTTATAACCTCATAGGCTGGATTCTGAAATAAAACATTCAATAAATTCCTCTGCATTGGTGTCAATGTTTTTATAACTGGTAATATAAAAAGAATACCACCAGTTGTTGAGGAATTTTTAGACACATAGTGTAGAAGCAATTTCTGAACTAAATCTCTGACCTATTGCATTTCAGATCTTAGTTGAGTAATTCTACCGATACATTGACTATAAACCAGAACCAATTTTTAAGGGTTGAAATAAAATGAAACAAGTTATAAAGTTTTTAGAAAAGTCTTAAATAATAGATTATCATAATTCTCAAAGTACAAGTATCTACCTGAAAATAGTCTAGGGATTTTTTATTGGTCACATTGTTATTCAGACAAGTTAAAAACAATTTAAAATTCATTTCAAGGTCTAAGTGTAAAAGGATATCATATATTGTACACCTGAAACTGATATAATATTGTATGACAATTATAATTCAATATAAAGAAATAGGATATCATGTATTAATATTGCTATTATATTTAATCTGATAAATACAGTTTACCAAGTATTTAATTTGTGGTTCTTCAAAAAAGTGTGGTAAGTTTGGTAACAGTTAATATATGAAATATAAATAAAATAGTATAAGACATTATCAGCATACTCACGTGTGGAAATTCAGGGGACAATCAGGATTCATACATGGAGAGAAGACAAATTAGATAACTGGTGTATGAAATTAGAAGGCTGTGATATTATTGTTTTCTATTTTCAGTGTGTGTGTGTCAATGTGCTGAATAGCCCCAGAGTAGCTTACAGAGCTCAGATATGCCAAGTCCTTACAACATGTAGCCCTATATGTAATTTTTACTGAACTAAAAGTCACACTGAAGTAAAAACATAGTTTAGACATAAAAAAGGTCAATTTCTCATTGAAGGTCTGAGTCTCAATGAATTTTTAGTAGAAAAATTTACATTTCTGTCACAAATAAGGTTTGTTTCTAGAGAACTAAAAGTGAGTCCTCCTGGGGAATGAGATAGAACTATACTGTTCACTCTTTCCTTTTGAAGTGTTTGTTCCCACTTGAAATAACCACAGCATTTTCTCTTTTCTTGGTACTTCCCAACAGGACAACAATAGAAGACTTTCCCATGGTTTGGTCCATTATTAGAAACAGTAAGTCTCTTAGATCTTCGGCCACACTTGCATAAAGGAGGTGTTATTTTTCCACTCTTCCAAGGCTCTTGGAGATTAACTGTAGAAGTTAAGACAGAAGGGAGGATCTTCCAGGAAGAAATTGCTGCTGGGGAGTCATTAGATGATGCAGGCTTTTCTTCATGAATAGTGAAAGTCTGTCTTTTTGCTGGTGGGAAAAGTGGAGGACTGGATGGATTCCTTTTACTATCATCTAAACAAAGAGGATGTTTCCCCAAAACTAAAGGATGAGACACATTGGAATTAACACTTTTGAGATTACTTGATTTACATTCAGGTAATTTAAAGCCAAAAGTATCTAAACCTGGATCTTTGGCTTCCTTTATATTATAAACAGTGGTATGGGGACTCTTATATACAATAGACTTAGAGGTAACAGATTTTTGAGGAGTTTCTTCTGTGCCTCCAAAGTTTTCATGACTTAACATTTCAGATTCTTCCAAAACCATTACTCTTTCTCCAGAATTAAGTGAAGTGTCTACATTTGAGTCACTAACGGGAGGTATACAATATATATTTTGCTTGGGCTGAGATGCTGGCAGTAAAGCTACATCCTCCCAATCAGCCAACATAGGTAAACAGTCAAGAGCAGAACTGACTTCCATATCAGAAACATTATTAAAAGATGAAATGGTAGTTGAAACAGGTACCAGTTCTGAATCAACTGCTGAAGTCTTAGAATTGATATTAAATGCAAGATGTTGGTTTATTTGCTTCTGCATAGGTGTATTCCAGCTGGAAGACTGCAGCTTCCCTAGAGAAGTCCAGGACTTAGGAGCATTAAAGAGAGATAAACAGCTTCTGACATTGCAAAGACCTGCTTTTATGCTGCCCTTTTGTTGTAACTGATCCTGCTGTACCTTTATAGGAGAATTCACACTAACAGACTTCATTTGAATTTTCTTGTAAGATTTTATTGAATTTTTAGGCTCCCTACCATATATGCTGGGATCATGAGTGTTACTGGTACAGGCTGATGTTTCTTCAACTTGATCCATATTCAAATTTCTGGTGAAAATGTTAGGATTCCTCTTAGTGGAAACCTATGATTCCACAGACAAAACCAACAACTTTAGAAACTCTGCATTCATAATTTCTTTAGTATACATTATATGAGATGACAAAAAAAGAAAAACGTCAGCACTGATTGATCTATAAATGACAGCATACATAACATCAACATTTCAGTTAGCCTATGATTACTTCTGGAGTTTGAAATAACAGAATAAAGAGGCAAGACACCACTAACCTTGTTCAAAGACCTTGTAATCTTCATTAAGCAACCATCCCTGATCATCTTCCAAGCAAGAAGGGCAGTATTCCGAGAATCATCCAACCCTGAGGAAACAGATATCAAAGACTGAATTTAGTGGTACTTATATAAAGAAATATACTACCACCTAAGCAGAAATTGGAACATACAGTTGGTTTTATGATCATCTACTAATTTTCATCATAAAAAATGGTCTTGTGGAAAGCTGCGGCAGCCTCACCAATGTAAGATTTCCCACATTTAGTCACCTGGTCCTGAACTTTTGTTTGTTGGGAGTTTTTTAATCAGTCTTGATTTCAGTACTTGGGATTGGTCTGTTCATAATTATTTTCTATTTCTTCCTGGTACCTTTCTAGGAATTTGTTCATTTCTTCCAGGATATCCATTTTATTGCCACAGAGTGACTGGTAGTAGTCTTTTATGATCCTTTATACTTCTATGATGTCAGCTTTTCTTTTTTGACTTCTAATTTTGTTGATTTGAGTCCTCTCCCTTTTTTTTCTGGATGAGTCAGGCTAAAGGTTTCTCAATTTTATCTTTTCAAAGAACCAGCTTTTAGGTTCACTGACCTTTTCTATCATTTTCTTTGTTTCTATTTCACTTATTTCTGATCTTCATGATTTATTTCCTTCTATTAACTTTAGATTTTGTTTGTTCTTCTTTCTCCAGTAGCTTTAGGTATAGGGATAGGTTGTTTGAGACTTTCTTGTTTCTTGAAGTAAGATTGTATTGCTACAAACTTCCCTTAGAACTTCTTTGGCTCCAGCCCATAGGTTTAAGATCACTGTGCTTTCTTTTTGTCTCTAGGTATCATTCTTGTAACACCATACATAAAAATAAGCTCAAAATGAGTTAAAGACATAGATGTGAGACTGGGCACTATAAAATTCTTGAGAAAAACACACAGCACTCTTTGACATAAATCGAAGCAATATCTTTTTTTATCTGTTTCAGAGTAATGGAAATAAAAACAAAATAAATGGGATCTAATTAAATTCAAAAGCTTTTGCAAAGCAAAGGAAACCATAAACAAAATGAAAAGACAATGCACAGAATGGGAGAAAATATTTGCAGATGATGTGACAGACAAGTTATCAGTCTCCAAAATTTACAAACAGTTCATGCAGCTAAATATCATCAAAATAAACAACCCAATCAAAAAGTGGGCAGAAGACCTAAATAGACATTTCTCCAAAGAAGACATACAGATGGCCGAGAAGCACATAAAAGATATTCAACATCACTAATTATCAGAGAAATGCACATTAAAACTAGAGATCCCTCACCTCACACCAGTCAGAATGGCTATCATAAAAAAATTTACAAACAGTAAATACTGGAGAGGGTGTGAAGAGGAAACCCTCCTACATTGTTGGTGGGAATGTAAATTGAAACAGCCACTATGGAAAACACATGTAAGTTCCTGAAGAAACTAAAAACAGAGCTACTATATGATCCTGAAATCCCACTCCTGGGCACATATCTGGAGAAAAACATGGTCTGAAAGGATACATGCACCTCAATGCTCACTGCAGTGCTGTTTACAATAGCCAAGACACTAAAACAATCTAAGTGCCCATTGACAGAACAATGAATAAAGATGTGGTACATATATATATACAACAGAATATTGTTTGTGGTAGTTATACTAAGTCATGTCTGACTCTTTTGTGACCCAATGGGCTGTAGCTCACCAGGGATTTCCCAGGCAAGAGTATTGGAGTGGGTTGTCATTTCTTTCTCCAGGGAATCTTCCCAACATAGGGATCAAACTCATATCTGCATTGCAGGCAGATTCTTTACCACTGAGGCACCAGGGAAGCCCAATGGAATATTACCCAGTCATTAAAAAGAATGAGATGATGTCTTTGCCACAACATAGATGGACTTAGAGATGGTCACAATGACTGAAGTAAGTCAGACAGAGAAATATCCTGTATCACTTATGTGTAGAATCTATCTATCTATCTTTGTTTCTATTTCACTTATTTCTGATCTTCATGATTTATTTCCTTCTATTAACTTTAGATTTTGTTTGTTCTTCTTTCTCCAGTAGCTTTAGGTATAGGGATAGGTTGTTTGAGACTTTCTTGTTTCTTGAAGTAAGATTGTATTGCTACAAACTTCCCTTAGAACTTCTTTGGCTCCAGCCCATAGGTTTAAGATCACTGTGCTTTCTTTTTGTCTCTAGGTATCATTCTTGTAACACCATACATAAAAATAAGCTCAAAATGAGTGAAAGACATAGATGTGAGACTGGGCACTATAAAATTCTTGAGAAAAACACACAGCACTCTTTGACATAAATCGAAGCAATATCTTTTTTTATCTGTTTCAGAGTAATGGAAATAAAAACAAAATAAATGGGATCTAATTAAATTCAAAAGCTTTTGCAAAGCAAAGGAAACCATAAACAAAATGAAAAGACAATGCACAGAATGGGAGAAAATATTTGCAGATGATGTGACAGACAAGTTATCAGTCTCCAAAATTTACAAACAGTTCATGCAGCTAAATATCATCAAAATAAACAACCCAATCAAAAAGTGGGCAGAAGACCTAAATAGACATTTCTCCAAAGAAGACATACAGATGGCCGAGAAGCACATAAAAGATATTCAACATCACTAATTATCAGAGAAATGCACATTAAAACTAGAGATCCCTCACCTCACACCAGTCAGAATGGCTATCATAAAAAAATTTACAAACAGTAAATACTGGAGAGGGTGTGAAGAGGAAACCCTCCTACATTGTTGGTGGGAATGTAAATTGAAACAGCCACTATGGAAAACACATGTAAGTTCCTGAAGAAACTAAAAACAGAGCTACTATATGATCCTGAAATCCCACTCCTGGGCACATATCTGGAGAAAAACATGGTCTGAAAGGATACATGCACCTCAATGCTCACTGCAGTGCTGTTTACAATAGCCAAGACACTAAAACAATCTAAGTGCCCATTGACAGAACAATGAATAAAGATGTGGTACATATATATATACAACAGAATATTGTTTGTGGTAGTTATACTAAGTCATGTCTGACTCTTTCGTGACCCAATGGGCTGTAGCTCACCAGGGATTTCCCAGGCAAGAGTATTGGAGTGGGTTGTCATTTCTTTCTCCAGGGAATCTTCCCAACATAGGGATCAAACTCATATCTGCATTGCAGGCAGATTCTTTACCACTGAGGCACCAGGGAAGCCCAACGGAATATTACCCAGTCATTAAAAAGAATGAGATGATGTCTTTGCCACAACATAGATGGACTTAGAGATGGTCACAATGACTGAAGTAAGTCAGACAGAGAAATATCCTGTATCACTTATGTGTAGAATCTATCTATCTATATATACAAATGAACTTATTTATAAAATAGTAACAGACTCAGAGACTTAGAGAAAGAACTTATGGTAACAAGGGGAACGGTGGGGGGGAGCCACAGTTAGGACTTTGGGATTGACAGATACATTCTGCTATATTTAAAATGGATAACCAACACAGACCTACTGTATAGCACATGGAATACTGCTCAGTGTTATGTGGCAGCCTGGATGGAAGGGGAGTTTGGGGAGAATGGATACATTTACACGTATGGCTGAGTCTCTTCACGGTTCACCTGAAACTATCAGAACATAGTTTATTAATTGGCTATACTCCAATACAAAATAAAAGTTAAAAAAAAAAAAGAACAATAAAAATTAAAACAAAAATAAAATGGATGGGGACTTCCCTGGTAGTTCAGTGACTAACACTCTGTGGGAGGCTGGGGTTCAATCCCTGGTTAGGGAACTACATTCTGCATGCTGGTAACTAAAGATTCTGCATGCTGTGACAAAGACCAAAGATCTCATGTGCCACAGCTAAGACCCAGTATAGCCAAATAAATTTAAAAAATTATTTTTTTAAGAAAGGATAATCAGCAAGGAACTACTGTATAGCACAGGGAACTCAGCTCAATATTATGTAACAACCTAAATGGGAAAAGGATTTGAAAAAGAATAGATACATGTATATGTATATAGCTGAATCACTTTGCTGTATACCTGAAACTAATAACACTGTTAATCAACTATAAAAGAAAAAGACTAAAAAAATAAAACCACATGATTATCTCAATAGATGCAGAAAAAGATTTTGACAAAAATTCAACACCCATTTATGATAAAAGCTCTGAAGAAAGTGGGAATAGAGAGAACTTACCTTAAAATAATAAAGGCCATATAAGACAAACCCACAGCTAACATCATTCTCTATGGGGAAAAGCTGAAAGCATTCCCTCTAAGATCAGGAACAAGGCAGGGATGTCCACTCTCACCATTTTTATTCAACATAGTTTTAGAAGTCCTATCCATGGCAATCAGAAAAGAACAAAACCAAATAAAAGGAATCCAAATTGGAAAAGAAGTAAAACTGATACTGGATGCTGATGACATGATACTAGTCATAGAAAATCCTAAAGATGCTACCAGAAGACTACTAGAGTTACAACGAATCTGGTAAAATTTCAAGATATAAAATCAACACACAGAAATCTTGCATTCTTATATACCAACAATGAAAGAGCATAAAGAGAAATTAAACAACTTCATTCACCATTGCATCAAAAAGAATAAAATACCTAGGAATAAACCTACTTCAGGAGACAAAAGGCCTATACTCAGAACACTTCACAATGTTATATGAAATACAGCATATCTTATGATACTGATGAAAGAAATCAAAGATAACACAAAGAGATAGAAAGATATACTGTGTTCTTGGACTGGAAGAACCAATATTGTGAAGTAACTATACTATCCAAAGCAATATACAAATTCAATGCAATTCCTACCAAATTATCAGTGGCATTTTTCACAGAATTAGAACAAAAAAAGTTACAATTTGTAGGGAAACACGAAAGACCCAGAATCGCCAAAGCAATCTTGATTAAAAAAAACAAAAAAACATAGCTAGGGGAAGCAGGCTCCCTGACTTCAGACTATACTACAAAGCTATAGTAATCAAAATAGTATTATACTGGCAAAAAAAACAGATATATAAATCAAGGGAACAAGATAGAAAACCCAGAGATAAATTCATACACCTATGGTCAATTAACCTATGATAGAGGACGCAAAATATACAATGGAGAAAAAACAGTCTCTTCAATAAGTGATGCAGGGAAAACTGGACAGCTACATGTAAAAGAGCCAAATTAGAACACTCTTTAACAATGTACACAAAAATAAACTCAGAATGGATCAAAGACCTAAGCGTAAGTCCAGACACCACAAAACTCTTAGAGGGAAACACAGGCAGAACATTTTCTGACATAAATCACAACAGTATTTATTTTGATCTACCTGCTAGAGTAATGAAAATGAAAATAAAAATAAACAACTGGGACCAAATTAAATTTAAATGCTTTTGCATAGCAAAGAAAACAATAAAGAAAATGAAAAGACAACTCACAGAAATCAGAGAAAATATGTGCAAATGAAGCAACAAGCAAGGGATTAATCTTCAAAACAAACAAACAAACAAAATAAATGGCTCATGCAGCTCTATGCTAAAAAAAGCAAATTACCCAATTAAAAAATGGACAGAAGACCCAAACAAACATTTCTACAAAGACATACAGATGGCCAAAAGCACATGAAAAGATGTCCAACATCACTAATTATCAGAGAATTGCAAATCAAAGCTACAACGAGGTATCACCTCACCCCAATCAGAACTGCCATCATCAAAAAGTCTAGAACCAATAAATGCTGGAGAGGCTGTGGAGAAAAGGGAGCCCCCCTACAATGTCAGTAGGAACGTAAATTGGCACAACCACTACAGAACAGTATGCAGATTCCTTAAAAAACTAAAAATAGAACTACTATTATGATCCAGCAATCCCACTCCTGAGCATATATTCAGGGAAGACCATAATCTGAAGATATATGCACCCCAATGTTCACTGCAGCACTGTTTATAATAGCCAAGACATGGAAGCAATTTAAATGTTCATCAGCAGAGGAATGGATATAGAAGATATGGCACATATATATAACTGAACATTACTCATCCATAAAAAGGAATGAAATAATGCCAATTGCAGTCACATGGACTGACCTAAAGATTATCATACTACGTGAAGTATATCAGATAGAAAAAGACAAATATGATATCACTCATGTGCAGAATCTGATTTTTTAAAAAGATATAAATGAATTTATTTATAAAACAAAAACAGACTTTCAGATATGAGTGGAAAAAGGGGTGAGGTATAAATCAGAAGTAGTGTGAACATACACATACTATCTTATATAAGACAGATAACCAACAAGGACCTACTGTATAGCTCAAAAAATTCTAATCAATATTCTATGATAACCCAAATGAGAAAAGAATCTAAAAAAGAATACATGTATACGCATGTAAGAATCATTTTACTGTACACCTGAAATGAACACAACATTGTCAATCAACTATACTTGAATAAAACTAAAATATATATATAAAATATGACCAACATTCTGTAGGGACCATGTTTTATGCGTAATCTAATAGTCTTGTTCAGTTTTTTCACTAGTCTACTCTATTATTTGGGCATTTGTTTATAATCTCCACTTGATATGGCTAATTCTTTTCATTTTTTTTTTTAAGAAATTAGAAATCCACTAGGTAACAGTCTTATATAAAACCTTACAATATTTTAAGGAAGTGGTCATTTGAAAATTTTGGAAACAATCTGAATGTACAGACTAGGGCTTTTTTCAGGCTGAGGATATTCTTTGTTAGTGACATCATTGAAAAATGAGATGCAAATGGAAGACTATATAAAAATAAAATGACTTACATAATAAAATTAATCTCAAGATATACTAACCAAAATGTTCTCGTCCCAAGAATTGCATTCCCACTTCCTGCAGGGCACCACTGAGTCCTTTCGGTTTTCTTTTATAGAAAATCTAGTCAAATAAAAGACAATACATCTTAAAAAATAAATACTATGTGAAAGGCTATGTATTTAGCCATTTACTTCTCATGATTTTTATTCTATTAGATTTGAAATGTGCTTTTTTTGTGTTGTTTTTATATACTTTAAGAAAAGTATTTATATGGATGCTTCAAAACAAAATATTTTGTTTGTAGAAACCCATACCCATGTGTGAAGTGAAAGTCGCTCAGTCGTGTCTGACTCTTTGTGACCCCACGGACTATACAGTCCTTGGAATTCTCCACGCCAGAATACTGGAGTGGGTAGCCTTTCCCTTCTCCAGGGCATCTGCCCAACCCAGGGATCTAACCCAGGTCTCCTGCATTGCAGGTGGTTCCTTTACCAGCTGAACAACAAGAGAAGCCCAAGAATACTGGAGTGGCTAGCCTATCCCTTTTCCAGCAGATCTTTCTGATCTAGGAATCAAACTGGGGTCCCCTGCATTGCAGGTGGATTCTTCACAAATTGAGCTATCAGGGAAGCCTATGTGTAGGATAAAGTTTAATAACTTTTCAATAGAAGCAAAATGAACATGCCCCCTTACCTTGTAAGTTACTCTGAGATCAATCCAAGAATTAAGGAACACAGGTTTTAACAGTTGTTTTCTTTTACATTCATACTCCAGGCAAACCCCCAAGTCCCAGTCTGCATCAAGAATATTAGAACAAAGTCAATGATGCTAATGGTTTTTACTTGTGCCATTATTTATAAACAAAATGCTGAAAGTCGACATAAAACAGAATAACAGGACTTAGAATCACATACACTATATTTTATATATAGTATATATAACATATGGTATATAATTATATACTATGCAACACATAATAGAAGAGTAAGATTTTGCTGCCCTAATATTTAACAATTATTCATAACTTACTATTAAGAAATTAGGTCAGTAACTAAGTTTCAAAATGATTTCTTAAAAGCCCAGTAAAACAAACTGACATTTCAGAAAGAAGAGTAAGGTGTCACATTACAAGGCTTAGATGGAAAAGATTATCTGTTTTCAACATTTTATAAAATATTAATGTAACTGAGAAACCAAACATCTTACAGGGACCCTGTTGGGCTGTAACCCAAAGCCATGCAACCACTGTACTTGACCAACCTCAAAACCAAAGAAAAGAGCCCAGAGTCAGTGACAGAAACATCAAGGGTTTAATGAACAGGGAGATTGTACATGTCTGAAGCAAGGTCTTGGAGCATACTGCATCATGTGAAGCAGATGGTGGGGAGGACATGGCAGCAGTCTTCGGCAAGGTGTTAGCAGTTATAGAGAGAATTGACATCAGTTGGTTCATCAGTTACCAGGGAAAGCAGCTGAGGAGAAAGCCCTTCATGTCCCTTTGATAAGCTATCATGGTGGAGATAAAGATTCTGGTCTAAAGATTAGAACAATCACTAGCTGGGGCTAAGGGCAAGTATGTATTAAGAGGAGAGGTCAGTTATATGAGTAGGGTGTAGGTCAAGCAGGGGTATACAGAGAACAAGAGAACAGCCATCTTGATTGGCCTGATCATACAGACCCAAACACAATTATCAATGCCATGCTGTCAATAACAGAGCATTGTTAACAATGACTATTAATGGCAATACTCTATCAGGGCATATAAAAGATCTACTTTAAATGGCCCATTTTTTCCCTTGATGTCTACATTAGAAGCGTGAATGTATAAAAGCAAAGAATGCAAGTTGAATATGGACTCTTTTTATCAAAGTTGTAGAAATACCATGATAAAAAAATTTTCACTGGTCTTTGCCCAGATTCAGGAGAATAGAGAAATCTAGAAAGATTCTTAAGAGTTAGAGCTTAACTTTTAAAGGTGTTTAAAATTTTAAAAATATGAATAAGATTACTTTTGTTGGTTAACATCATGCTAGACATTTAAGATTTCTTTTTGTGGCCCAAGAAGGTAACAAATATAATTGTTACTAGAGATAAAGAATTATCTAGTGGCAATGCTACTCATTAATGATTGCTAAGTATAAGTTATTTTTTTTACCTGACCAAGTAACAAATGCACATAATTTTACTTCAGCAGTGGAAATATCTGAAACTGTAGTAGCAAAAATAATTTTCTTCTGTTGCTGAATCTTCTGAATCCATTTACAGAACTGAGATAAACAAATCTTCAGAGGGACTCCTTCATCAACTTGAGCCTAAATAGAGTCATATAATCTGAATTCAATAACTGAATTCCATAATTATTGTGCAAATAATTAGACACTATGAGGAGGATATACAAAAGGAAGAAGAGGTTTTAACTGGCAGTTTAGTGAAAAGATGTTTAAACACATAGGAGAGAGATAATACAACAATTAGAATTCTGCAAGATAAGAAAAATTACATTGACTAATCTAAAATCACACAGAAATACAATAAAGATATCCTGATAGGCAGAAATTTGATATCACTTAATTTCCATAAAATATATCTGATATACATTTTTATAACACTATTCTTTCCAATTTTTTTTCCCCATGGGGAAATCTTAATTCCTCAACCAGGGATCAACCCCACAACCTCTGCAGTGGGCGTGCAGAGTCATAATCATTGGACCACTGTAGAAGTCCAATTTTTTCTGATTTTTAAAGATTCCAATGGGCTTCTGGAGGGGACAGTATTTCTAGCAGTGAATGAATCTAATTCCACATGGCATATAGCTTTTCTTTCTGAAAGTGATTTCTGAATTTCAATATTTACATCTTTCCTGCTTGTGTTTTGTTGTAATGGGAGGATGAGAAGTGGAAAAGAGAGGGCATACCTGACTTATGCCTGTCAGTTCCATGCAAAATTCAGAAAGAATTGGATGTTCCTGAGGCTGAACATAAGCATGGAACTCAGATTCAATCTCTCCAGTTGATGTGTTCAGTAATACAGCTGGAAATTCAACTATATGAAAGAATCATCAATTGACAGTTGAATACATAATTGTTAAACTAATGCTGCAATCACTTTAAATTAAGTATATACTGATATTACCTTCACATAGTACTATTAAACAATCATTGTTTTAGTGAAAGCACATTAAAATGACCAAAGCAGTGCAACATAATGGTTATATAAAATTATGCCAAAGAATAAATCAAACTATTAAAGTTACAGGTATATCTATTTAAAACTCTTGAATGTATTTCCATAATTAGAAGACCATATGAAAGTTGAAATATAGTTCTTTTTGCAAAGGTATTTTTTTATCAGTTTCTATGTAGTTCAGATTTTGAATATAATCCCAAAACAATTATTTTATATGGTGACACACTTAGGTATTAGGTTTGTGGGTCTTTTTTGTCAAGTCAGATTTCATAGTAAATTACCAATCCGCAGATCATTTTGTTTTCTTATTTAGCATTGCATATGCTGTGTGCTATGGAGAAGGAAATGGCAACCCCCTCCAGTGCTCTTGCCTGGAGAATCCCAGGGATGGTGGAGCCCGGCGGGCCGCCGTCTATGGCGTCGCACAGAGTTGGACATGACTGAAGCGACTTAGCAGCAGCATGCTGTGTGCTAAGTTGCTTCAGCCATGTCCAACGACTCTATGGACTGTAGCCCACCAGGCCCCTCTGTCCATGGGACTCTCCAGGCAAGAGCACTGGAGGGGGTTGCTGTGCCCTTCTCCAGGGGACCTTTGGCCATTGGCAGTAAAGTTCAGACTTACTTATTTCCTGACTCCGGTGGTGTTTCCCATCATTCCAACATGTGGACTCAAAATCAAGGACAATTAAGTAGTCAAACAACTGCTCTGCAAAAGATCAGAGTGTCCTTATGTATTACCAGTGTTAAAAGTGCAAGACTACAGAATGTAAAGAAATGAGGCACATTACTTACTAGATTTGCTTCTTCCTAGGTTTCCATTTGCTGGTGGAATTGACTTTCTCCTAATTAATCCAAGCTGCCTAAAAATGTAAAACAATCCAGGTTATGTTCAACAAACTCATTCAAATTCCTGTTTACATAAGTTAACAAACTGATGGTATAACTCTCATTATTAATGTACTAATGTATTGTGATTGAGAGGAAACTGAACTAGACTTTGAGGGCAAAAGACTTTGGTTCTTTGCACTCTTCTGACTTTAGTAGTCATTCTACCAAAGAATGTTCAAATTACTACACAAACTACTACACTCATTTCACATGCCAGCAGGGTAATGCTCAAAATTCTTCAAGTGAGGCTTCAAACAGTACATGATCTCAAAATTTCCAGATGTACAAGTTCGATTTAAAAAGGGCAGAGGAACCAGAGATCAAATTGCCAACATCTGTTGAATCATAGAAAAAGCAAGAGAATTCCAGAAAAATATCTACTTCTGCTTCAATGACTACACTTAAGCCTTTGACTGTGTAGATCACAACAAACTGTCAAAAATTCTTCAAGAGATGGGAATATCAGACCACCTTACCTGCCTCCTGAGAAACCTGTATGCAGGTCAAGAAGCAGCAGTTAGAACCGGACATGGAACAATAGACTGGTTCCCACATGGGAAAGGAGTACATCAATGCTGTATATTGTCACCCTGCTTATTTAACTTATATGCAAGAGTACATCATGAGAAATGCCGACATGGATGAAGCTCAAGGGGGAATCAAGACTGATGGGAGAAATATCAATAACCTCAGATATGCAGATGACACCACCCTTATGGCAGAAAGTGAAGAGGAACTAAAGAGCCTCTTGATGAATGTGAAAGAAGACAGCGAAAAAACTGGCTCAAAACAACATTCAAAAAATGAAGATCATGGCATCTGGTCCATTTCATGGCAGACAGATGGGGAAACAATGGAAACAGTGACAGATTTTATTTTATTGGGCTCCAAAATCACTGTGGATGATCACTGCAGCCATGAAATCAAAAGATGCTTGCTTCTTGGAAGAAAAGCTATGGCCAACCTAGACAGCATATTAAAAAGCAGAGACATTACTTTGCCGACAAAGGTCAGTCTAGTCAAAACTATGGTTTTTCCAATAGTCAAGTATGGATGTGAGAATTGGACCACAGAAAAGGCTGAATGCTGATGAACTGATGCTTTCAAATTGTGGTGCTGGAGAAGACTCTTGAGAGGTCCTTGGACAGCAAGATGAAACCAGTCAATCCTAAAGGAAATCAACCCTGAATATTCATTGGAAGGACTGATGCTGGAGCTGAAGCTTTAATACTTTGGCCACCTGATATGAAGAGCTGACTCATTGGAAAAGATCCTGATGCTGGGAAAGATTGAGGGCAGGAGGAGAAGGGGACAATAGAAGATGAGATGGTTGGATGGCATCATCAACTCAATGGACAAGAGTTTGAGCAAACTCTAGGAGACAGTAAAAGAGAAGGCTGGCGTACTGCAGTCCATGTGATCACCAAGAGTCAGACATGACTAAGCGACTGAACAACAAGTCATTCTACCTGCATGGGCCTCAAAGTGCATATTTGCAAACAGACTGTTTCTCTGTGCTCCTATTATTTTATAGTAATAATGAGGAACTCAAGTGGTTGTAAAGATGCATTGAAAACCTAATTTAATTTTGCTTTTGTATTTTTCAAGCCTTTGCTATATAAATAGCACAGTGGAGAGGAGAGAGGGCAGATCTAGTCTTCCAGGAGTTTAAATCATCTGGGTAAATAAACTAGATATTCATGGAAAAATAGTGTAAGGTAATATATAATAAAGGATCCTTATGGGCAATATTCTAAGTCCACAGAAAGGGAAGAGCTTGTTACCTGAAGCCTCTTGGTAGGTGTCAAGCCAAAAGACCACCAAGGCAAAGAGGAGAAGGAAGGATTTATTACTTGCAGCAAGTAAGTATAACAGCAGGGGTCTTTCCTGGTGTTTCCCACACCAGTGTCACCCCTAAACTGCAAAACTGGGTAAGTTTAAGCTAAGGGTACATGCATATTTCATGTAGGGGCTTAGGTGGTTGAGATTCCAAACATTAGCTGATTGAAGTCAAGAGAGTTAAAAAGGTCAACATCATCATCCCTTGGGTTACAGGTGATCAGATGGTTGAGTGCTTCAGGCTAATCTTTACCATTGAAACAGAACTAGGAATTTTTTTTTCTTTTTCTTTTTGGCAGCTTGCAGGATATTGGTTTCCAGAGCAGGGATCAAACTTGTACCCTTTGCAATGGAAGCTGGGAGCCCTAACCACTGGACCACCAGGGAACTCCCAGGACTAAGAGTCTTTGCTTCTGAGATATTATCTTTGCCATTGTTACTTCCCTTGCCTGGTAACAGTTATTTGTTTCTGCATTCTTTTGTTTCCTTAATAGCATTAATTCCCGAACTTCTCTGGCAGTCCAGTGGTTAGGAATCCACTTGCCAATGCAGGGGATATGGGTTCAATCCCTGCTCCAGGAAGACTCCACACGTTGAGGGGCAACTAACCCCACGCAGCACAACTACTGAGCTTGCCCTCCTCAACTACCAAAGCCAGTGCACCCTAGAGCCTGTGCTCTCTAACAAGAGTAGCCACCTCAATGAGAAACCTGCAGACCACAACTAGAGAGTGGCCTCTGCTTGCTGCAACTAGAGAAAAGCCTGTGCACAGCAACAAAGATCCAGTACAGCCAACAACAAAATAAATTTTTTTTAAAAAAAGATCACTGTGGCTAGCCTCAGACCACAAAATGGCTTATGCCAAACATGGCTTCTTTAATATTGAGAAAGTCATGTCTGGTTGTCTTTCTCCAGCGAATATCTATCTGCTTCCATGCTTATTGAGGTCTTAGGCTTACTGACATCTTAATTGTCCCGAGACAAAACTATTCAATACTTTGCTAAGTAGTTTAACAAGGCACACACCACTCATTATAGTTTCCCTGTTTGACCTGTGATGGGAAGTTGAGAATAATGGCTAACATCTTTTGATTGTTTACTATATAATGGTGGTGGTCGTTGAGTCAGTCTTCTGACTCTTGCGATCCTCTGTCCACGGAATTCTCCAGGCAAGAATATTGGAGTGGGTTGCCATTTCCTTCTCCAGGGGAATCTTCCCAATTCAGGGATCAAACCCTGGTCTCCTGAACTGCAGGCAGATTCTTTACGGACATATTACTCACTGAATTAAGATGGTGATCTCATTTCATCCTCAACAACCGTACAAAATAGTCCCTTCTGCTACCTACATTTAATCGGTGAGAAATCGAATTCGGCAATTTGCCAGAAAACACGTATTTAGTATGTGAAACCAGAATGATTCAACTGTGAAACCAATGCTTTCACGAATGCATTCCACTGTTTCTATTAATCAGAAATGTGAAAAGCGTGTCCAAGAATCAGGAAAAAGGCCACGCTTCACACTATGAATTAAACAGATCACTAGTAAGTGGTGGGGTGAACAGCTTGGTAGGTGGAGGGATCTTGATAGCTGCCGGTGACCTCCGAATGGTCCCGTAGGACCGTTCTTAATGCTCCCGGAGACCTAGAATAGGCAGACACTGGCTCAGGGGCACAGAGTCGAGAGCCCTCCCTGGTCCCTCCACGCTCCTACAAAGAGCTAACTGAGGCTCGAGACTGAAGTGCCAGAAGAGTGACCTTCCAGTTCAGGCTGGCCAGTGCACACCCAAACTGCAGAGAATGGAGGCTGAACACGGCGGATACTGACGCGGACGCCAGCGCAGGATCAGAAGCGATCCCCCGCCACCGCCCAGAACCGCCCTGCATACCTTGCGAGTCTCTTGGTCGCCATCCCTGACGTTCCCTTGCCTCAGCCCAACTGCCGGAAGTCGCTGTACCCCCACTTCCGGCCCATTCAAACGCCCCGCGCGGTTGGGGAGGCTGCTGCGGCGGCTTCTCTGCCCGTGGCTGAGGCAGAGGCGGAGGTCATCTTTACTCTCCTTCCTGGCTTCTTTTCGGCGTCTTCGGGGATACGGAGTCTGGGGAATGGTTTTTGGCAGTGAAGCAGTTAGAAAGTGCCCTCTTCCCTCTTCCTAACTGACGGAGGCGCGTTTGCGCCGGTGGGGGACCGTTTCGAATTCGGCCTCCAGCGTCGGCAGTAAAGCCGTTTGCCTTGGTGCTGCGTGGTTTTCTGCGTGGAGTAACGGGGAAGACGGTTGGCGCCCTCGCTTTCCGCGGTGGGCGGGGAGCGCTCAGTAAACTGATTTGAGAAGATCTGAGGAAGGTGGTAGGTAGGCTGTCGAAGCCCTTGCTCCTCCCCACTCTGGAGACAGCCCGGGCCATCAGGGCGTCGGGCTTTTCTCAGAGAGCTAAAAAGCGATCTTTCTCAACAGGCTCATGGAGCCAGAGAGGCAAAGGAGCGGGAGGACCCTCAAGAAGGGCAGAAAGAGGAGCCGGATTCCGAGCAAGCTGGTCGGGGCCGCTGAGGCGATGAGATCCCGTTGGGATCTTGAGGAAAATCAGCAACCTGTAGCCAAGGTGAGCAATGGGGGATCCCGACTGGGCAGCCCTAGGCAGTTTGGAACTCCCAAATGATAATACAATACCACTTACCTTGGGGCTGATATTGGCGATTTAAAACCGGTATTGTGCCTGGCACACGAGAAGAATATTTGTTCAACAAATATTTTGAAGTCTTCCGTGTTCAGGAATTGTTCTAGGCTCTGCAAATATACCAGTGCATAAAAGCACAAAATTTCCTGCCCCCGTGCAGTTTACATTCCAGTAATGGAATAATAAGGCTGATAATCTATCATTTCTTGAGCATTCTGTGGCATCCATCCCCATAGTCATCAGATTTCTATTGTCTTTCTAGGCACTGGGGGAACATTAGTGAGTAAACAAAGATCGCTACTACCTTTCTAGTGGAGAGAGAAGATAAACAATAGTAAGGGAATTAGTGCTATGAAGTATTTTAAAATGCGATTCCTTTTGGGGGAGCCTATCAGATTGGCAAAAAAAAAATTTTTTTTCTTTTAAGGTTAGCGTGGTAGAAAGTTGAAGGAAGTTGACAATCTCATCACTTTATTTTGAAACCCCTTTATTTTGAAACCGTCTCAAACTTAAAATTTGCGAGGACAGTATCAGAAACTACCTTCCACCCATATATTTTAGTGTTTACATATTTTCTAATATCTACATAACTAAAATGCAACCAGCAAAATCAGGAAATAACATGGATATATGCTACCATCTAATTTTCAGATCTCATTCAAGTTTCTCCAGTTCTAATAACATCCTGTTCAGCAATAAGATCTAGTTTAGAATAAATGTGTTACTTTAGTTGTTATGTTTCCTTCAATGTAAACAATTGTTCAGTCTTTGACATTTGTGGCTTTACTACCTTTGAAGAACCTGTACCACTTATTTTGTAGAATGTCAGAATGTCTCTCAAGTTAGGTTTGTTTTCTCATTATTAGATTGAGGTTATACATCTTTGACAGGAATGTCACAGAAGTGATACTATGTTCTGTTGTATTTTATCAGGTTGTACCCTAATTTGATTTGTCCCAGTACTGATGATATTAACCTTGATAATTTGATTAAGAAAGTATGTGCTAAATTTCTCTAAAGTTGCTCTTTTTCTCTTATTTTGTGGGGAGATGCTTCCTCATTAAACTTTCAGTTTATTCATTTTTTTGTTAGTATGAATTTGTGGATACTCAATTTAATCAATGAATTATCATCCATTACTATATTTATTTTGGTGCTCAAAATATCCCAGATTTGGTCATTAAGCTAACTTCTGTGTCCCTTTGACATGGACCTGTTCATTCTTGAGCATTTCCTTGTTTTTCTGGCACAAAAAGATATTTCAGACTCTTCTGTGCTTCCCCTGTCTTAGCCTGAAATCAGCCATCTCTCTGAGGAGACTTGGTTCTTTTTAGTGGAGAATGACATTTAGAAATTAAAGATCTGGGTGCTAGATGTGCTGATAGCTGTTGGGAAGTCAATATTCCAAATGAGAGCTAAGAGATATGTGTGTATAGATTTACACACATATACATATGTATACATTAAAATACCTTTATATTTATAGATATATCTATACATATTGAAAAACTGTCAATTCATACCCCTATCTTTGCTTCCAGTCCAATTCCACTGAGTTCATTCTAGTTGTCTCCCTTTTTATATATATAACTTCCTTATATAGCTGAAAAATTTGACTCTCTTTATCTTCTAATATATTTAATTTGGTCCCCTCTTCCTGCCATTGCCTCACCCCCTCACACCCTCCTCACCCAGCTTAGGCTCTGGTCATTCTGCATAATGCACCAGGTCACTCTTCATTGTGAATGCTTTCATTGCTACTGTGATAAGCTACTCACATGGATGCCTGCACATATCCTTTTCAGGCTCTGAATTCAGTGACACTACTATTTGTCCCTCAGGACTGGTGCCCTCCTTACCCTAAACAATTTCTTACATCTGATGCCAGCTTCACTACTCTCCAGTTCCCACTGCATGGATACCCTCCTCATTCTGCTCAGGCTTTGACACTTCACACTGAGCCACTGTCCTGCAGTGTATATTCTGGTTTCCTAACCCTTGTTCAGTCGCTCAGTCATGTCCAACTCTTTGTGACCCCATGAACTGCAGCATGCCAGCCGTCTCTGTCCTTTGCTAATTCCTTGAGTTTGCTCAAACTCATGTCCATTGAGTCAGAGATGCCATCCAACCATCTCTTCCTCTGTTGCCCCCTTCTCTTGCCCTCACTCTTGCCCAGCATCAGGGTCTTTTCCAATGAGTTGGTTCTTCGAGGCAGGTGGTCAAAATATTGGAGTTTCAGCATCAGTCCTTCCAGTGAATATTCAGGGTTGATTTCCTTTAGGATTGACTGGATTGATCTTGCTGTTCAAGGGTCTCTCAAGAGTCTTCTTCAGCACCACAGTTCGAAAGCATCAACTCTTGGGCACTCAGCCTGCATGCAGCCTTGTTTCTGGTCTAGCTTTCACATGCATACATGACTACTAGAAAAACCATAGCTTAGACTATACAGACCTTTGTTAGCAAAGTGATGTCTTTGCTTTTTAATACACTGTCTAGGTTTGTTACAGCTTTTCTTTCAAGGAGCAAGCATCTTAATTTCATGGCTGCAGTCACTGTTCACAGTGATTTTGGAGCCCAAAAAAAAACATTTGTCACTGTTTCCATTTTTCCCCATCTATGTGCCATTTAGTGATGGGACTGGATGCCAAGATCTTTGTATTTTGAATGTAGAGTTTTCAGCAAGCTTTTTCACTCTCCTCTTTCACCTTCATCAAGAGGCTCATTAGTTCCTTTTCGCTTTCTGCCATTAAAATGGTATCATCTGCATATCTGAGGTTGTTGGTATTTCTCCCAGCAGTCTTGATTCCAGCTTGTGAGTCATCAGGCTGGCATTTCTCATGATGTACTCTGCATATGAGTTAAATAAGCAACATAACAATTTACAGCCTTTGATGTACTCCTTTCCCAAGTTTGAACCAGTCTGTTGTTCCGTGTCCGATTCTAACTGTTGCTTCTTGTCCTGCATACAGGTTTCTCAGGAGTCAGGTAAGGTGATCTGCTATTCCCATCTCTTGAAGAATTTTCCACAGTTTGTTGTGATCCACACAGTCAAAGGCTTTGGCATAGTCAAAGAAACAGAAGTAGATGTTTTTCTGGAACTCTTTTGCTTTTTCTATGATCCAAAGGATGTTGGCAATTTGATCTCTGGTTCCTCTGCCTTTTCTTAATCCAGCTTGTACATCTGGAAGTTGTCAGTTCATGTACTGCTGAGGCCTAGCTTGAAGGATTTTGAGTATAATTTTGCTAGCATGTGAAATGAATGAAACTGTATGGTAATTTGAACATTCTTTGGCATTGCCTTTGTTTGGAATTTGAATGAAAACTGACCTTTTCCTGTCCTGTGACCACTGCTGAGTTTTACAAATTTGCTGGTGTATTGAGTGCAGCATTTTAACAGCATCATCATTTAGAGTTTGAAATAGCTCACCTGGAATTCCGTCACCTCCACTAGCTTTGTTCATAATAACGCTTCCTAAGGCCCACTTGACTTCACATTCCTAGGATATCTGGCTCTAGGTGAGTGACCACACCATCATGGTTATCTGAGTCATTATAACATCTTTTGTACAGTTTTTTCTGTGTATTCTTGCCACCTCTTCGTAATATCTTCTGCTTCTGTTAGGACCTTACCGTTTCTGTTCTTCATTGTGCCCATCTTTGTATGAAATGTGTCTTTGGTATCTCTGTTACCGAGTCCAAGCTTGCTCTGCTTACCACACAACAGGCCAGTGAATCTGAGAGATGAGGTGTTGAGGCAAGGAAGAGCCAGCAAACTGAGAAGATGGCAGATTAGCACCTCAAAGTAACCATTTTATTGGGGTCTGGATACCAGGTTCTTTTAAAGGTTAGAGAGAAAGAAGCAAAGTAAAAAGGCCATTAATTTTGCAAACATCTTCTAGGATGGCAAGCCTCAGGCAGGGGATGTGTTAATTTTTTTCTTCCTGCCATCCACAGGTGGACAGGGTTCTGAACAAAGACATTTTAGTTTAACAGTCAGGCAGAGGGGCAGGATTCTCTGAGGCAAACCATTCTGTATGATTACATATAATAACAAAAGCAATGAAAAGCAAGTCAAAGAAACAGTTCCAACATGGAGTCAGAATTGGTTTCCTCTCTACAACATCTCCCGTTTTCTTGAAGAGTTCTGTAGTCTTTCCCATTCTATTGTTTTCCGCAATTTCTTTTCACTGTTCACTTAAGAAGGCTCTCTTACCGCTCCTTCTGGAACTCTGCCTTCACCTGGACTTTGTCCTGTGTAGTATGCTCTCCCTATCCTACTCAGGTTCTGACATCCCATATTTGGCAACCATGATTACTTACTGCTATATATAGAGTCCTTCATACATTGTCAATATTGTATATTTTTATTTGGTAAGTATAAATTTGTATATTCTTTCAGGAGTTAGCAATATTGTCAGAATGTAAGGTATACATGATTATTTGACCAGGAATTTATCCTGAGAAAATAGGTGTGCAAGGATGTCTATACAAGGATCTTCATCATAATATTGTTTATAATTAAACAAGTGTCATCAGAAAGGG